AGGTGGAAGTTTTGAATCTATGCTCATCAATGAATTTGTTGATTTTTTTTAATTTTAAGAATGGACCATTTTTAATAATTTGTGTTCTGACCTTCTTTATTCTATAGGAGCAAATTAAGAATGATGATAAACACTCAAGTATCAAATCCGTTGTTCTTTTCTTGAGGTAGAGTTAATTGAATTATTTTGATTCTTAGTTTTGACATAATTGGACTGCTTAGCATTGTACTATTCTTGTTCCTTATCACTTCATTTTCAATTTTCTTTTGCAGATATCATAAGTCGAGAACGGACTTGAAGTGCTGGTCAATAAGAATGTAAGCAAACTTTTCTGATACACATCTGTCATATCATACATACACATTAATCATACAACTATCATATGGACTTGAAGTAGGATGATATTCTAAACAAATTAATGCAAGTACTTGTTGCAAGACTGAAAACTGTGAATTCCTGCCGTGATAATGTATATAATTTATATGGGAAGTTTTACTAATTAAATGTGTAAAATTTATTTTTACATAGGCTTCAAAGAATGCATATGTAAAATTGGTCATTTTAGTACTCTTTGATAGTTATATACTTCACTTTAAATAAGTATAAATTATATATTTATTTCATATTTTTTACTTAGGTTGGCGATGGGAAGGAAGAATACACGGATGATGACATTGATGATATTCGCAAAGAATGGGTATCTTATGTAGCAAACTTTATCATGCCGTGATATTTTGTATCGACATATGATTACAATATTTTTAATAACTTAATGTTAATATATTGTATGCAAATGGATTGGTTATATATAATATGATATATTTATTTAGTATTATGAGGCATTAAATGTGATTTAGTTTGATTATTTGTCAATCTATAATATATATATATATATATATATATATATATATATATATATATATAATTTACGACATACAATCACGACACACGAATGTGTGTCATCTTTTTTAATGACGTGTGCTTTAATGGCACGCAATGTAAGTGTAAATGTGTGTCATAAATTTATGGCACACAAATGTGTGTCATCTTCATTTATGACGGGGGCTTCAATGACGCGCAATGAGCGTCATAAATGTGCGTCATAAATGCGTGTCATAAATGCGCGTCATAGATTTATGACACACAATTGCATGTCATCTGAGATTTATGACGGTGGATTCAATGATGCACATTTGTGTGTCATCTTCACTCATAGATGACACGCAATGTGCGTCATTAAAGGGGGTTTTTCTAGTAGTGCTTTTTGGGTGAAATGAATTAACTGTTTTTCATGAAAATACTTAACTATTTTTCAAGAATAGAGATGTTGAATAGTCATGATTGAATAAATCAATTTATTCATATTTTTCCAACACTATTAAAACTTTATCTATTTTGAAGTACCCTTCACCTTCTGTTTGAATAATTTCATTTTTTATCTTCTTTAATATGACAAATTCATCAAAAGTAACATCTTTGTTAAAAATTATTATTTTTATAATTACCCACCAAGTTGATATCTCTTTACTTTAGAGGTTGTTCTCATACAAATATCTTTTACTTAATAATAAATAGTGAATCCAAATACATATAAAAACTCATGATATGTAGTTGGATTTTTAAACCATATTTACAATGGTCGATGTTTTTTTATTAATAACAAATGTGATAATTGTTTAATGAGATGATCCACATATGTCACATCTTTGATCTAAGCCTAAAATTAATTACCCAATTTGGTATTGGACAACATACATTAAACTTTTTCAAGTAGGGCTTGATTCATACACTTTGGCTCCTTATTGTATTGTGGTGTATCTCTAACCGTAAACTTTCGAACATTTTAGTACTCTTGAAAAATAAAGAACTGGTCACTTCTATATTCCCCTACATTCTTCGTTCTAAGTGACTTGATCTTTTTGTTAGTTTGGTTTTCGATTTTAGTTTTGCATTAAAGAAAAATTTTAAACCTTTATCATTGTATTTCATTTTATACACCTAATTATTCATGAAAAGTAATCAACAAAAGTTACAAACTAATATTAGCCTCCAAATGAAGGTGTCATGGTAGGACCCCACTATTTGAGTAAACATAATCCAAATTATTTAGACTTGTAAACATGTACACCTTTCACCAACCCTTGCTAGAATTTACAAGGATTTCTCATCAACATATCATAACTAGGTTGAACCGACATTTTATACATGTAGGTTGGCTTTAAAAACTGATTTAAATGATATGATCTAAACAGCATTGAACTGACATTTTATACATGCTGGTTGGCTTTCCCAACTTGCAGAAAATCACAATCTCCCATTTGACAAATTTGAAGAGGATATGGAATAACCAACTTCACGCTGATTCTTTTTCCAAGCTAAAAGAGTTGAATCTGTGGAGTTGTGAATCGCTGTTGAACATTTTCCAACCATTTCTGTTGTGAGTTTTTCCGAAGCTTGGAGGTGCTGAATGTCACTGATTGTGCCTCACTGCAACAAATGTTCCAACTCCAAGTTGAACCTTACATGGTGAGCAATCAATTGAAACAACTGCAACTCATTCGCTTGCCGAACTTGAAGCATGTCTGGAACAAGGATCCAAAGAGAAACATGTCTTAATAATTTGATAACGGCACATATGGAGGATTGTTTGAGTTTGGAAACTCTGTTGCCGTTTTCAATAGGCACAAATCTTGAGCAACTTGAGAGCCTTAAACTTATTAGCTGTGGTATGAAGGAGATTGTTTCCAAGAATATTGCAGAAAGAGGGGAAGTTTTGTTTGAGTTTAATGAGTTATCATACCTTGAGCTTCGGAATCTACCAAGCATCACATGTTTGTACCCAGGAGAGCACACCACAAGATGGCCTGCGTTGAAAGGTTGAAGATATATGGATGTTACTACACTAAAGCGTTTGAACATGGAGAACGTCAACTCCAAGAACCACTTTTCCATATTCGAAAGGTACAACCTTTCTTAATTTTAATGGCATAATGACAAAATTATCCCCAATATTTACACAGCTGATTATTTTAATCCATATTAATTTCTTTTTGAGAATTTTAACCCAACGTTACAATTTATGGTCAAAATACCCCATGTTAGAAGGAATTGCTAGTTGAGTAAAGGTTAATACATATTGCTGACGTGGCATGTGCCATGTCACTAAGGTAATAACGTGACATATGTCACGTCACCCAAGGTGATAACTTGAAATGTGCCACATTAGTTATTAAACACATGCAAATGCTACATTAGTAGTAAGTGTTGACGATTAGTCAACAAACGATTTCCTTCCAATAAGGGGTATTTTGACAAAAAAATTAAAAGTTTGAGACTAAAATGCTTAAAAAACAAGAAATATAGGAAATAATCTAATATGTATATCTATGGTCTTCTTTGATGATTTCTCAGATCATCCCCCAATTGGAGGAAGTTGCATTTAGCAGTGATGACATTGCAATGATAAGCAATGGTGAATTCGCAGCAGACTTTTTTAGAGTTATTAAAGTAGTTTGGATCACTCACTATCTTGATGAAACTGTTGCCTTTCCGTTTCGTTTCCTCCAAATATTTTACAATCTGCAAATACTTGAGATGTTCTCTTGCAATTTCAAGGAATTGTCTTTTGACGAAGGGGGGAACATGGAGGTGACATCCACGTTTCCAACAATAAAAGAGTTGAAATTGGATTTCTTTGATAAGATTCAATATCAATGGAATCAAGACTCGCCGCTGAACCATATGTGTGGAAATCTCGAATGTCTTCGAGTCTGGAGATATGAAAGTATGATTGATATATCGTCGGTTCCTTTGTCAACGTTTCAGTATCTTGCTACTTTGAATGTTTGGAATTGCAACGCGATGGCACATATGATTACGTCTTCGAAAGCTCGATGTTTTGGAGCGGCTCGTTATGCTGAGGATAAGAGACTGTGAGACAATGAGAGAGGTAATTGGTAGCGATGGAGATGGAGCGACGACGTATCATGAGAATGAGATTGTTTTCAAAGAGTTCCAGTATTTCGAGCTTCATTCACAAGCTTCTGTTCAGAGAATTACTGTTTCAAGTTCCTATCACTGGATCAAGTTATAGTGAGTGAGTGTCCCTCGTTGAAGCATTTTTGCGGTGGAGCTTTAAGCACGCCAAAGCTACAAAAGGTTCAACTATTATTAACAGATCATAAGGGATGTTGGACTGGTGACCTTAAGCCACCATTCAACAGTTGAACATACAAGGTACGCATATATGAATAGAGGCGGCAATCAGGTCATATGGAGTGGATTTTGGTCGTGTCATTTTGGATCGGGTTATTTTAAGTCTAAACTATTTCGGTTTTGATTCGGATTGGGTCGAATCGGATCTGATTCGAGTTTAGTTCAAGTATATGAAAATTTAGTTCGGATCAAGTATCGGGTTACGTTAATATTGGAGCGGTTGGATTCGGGTCAGGTCAATGTCGAATTGATTGGTTTATATATTGTCTCACTCCAAACTCAGTCCTAAAAGTTATTTCATTAGATATAGACATTGTCTTTTAACTAATAAAAGATTATATTAAACCATTAAACTATTACTAGAAGTGATGGTTAATTAGTATAATAATATAAAAGTAGAACAAAACATATATCATTCTACTATTTATCAATGCTAAAAATAGATGATAATAATAATAAATAAATAAATAAATAAATAAATAAATCGATAATATTATTCATTCACTTATACTCAATTATCGGTTTAAAATTAGATCAAAGTTCGATTCGAATCGAATGTGTAAATTAAATTCAGATTACTTTCGGTTCGAGTTTATTTCGAATCAGGTTTTTTGGTTTGAGTTATTTATAGTCCAACTAAAATTTGGGTCGGTTTCAATTTTATTTGAATTATTTCCGGTTTCAAATATATTCTTGATATCTTTTTGTGTCTATATCAAATGTCAAATCAAATAAATAAATTTAAATAATCAATTCAAATTTTTCATATTTGTCATATCTAGTTCTGAAGAAAAAAGCACGGGGTGGGCTTTAATCACTCCAAGACTATGGTTTTACAAGTGTGTGAAAACATAGTGTGTTGCCCTATTATTGTCTTAGACGTCACAATCTAGGTTGCCACTAACGCTTTTATTCCATATGAGACGAATTCATTCATTCAAGTCACGTAGAGAAGGACTTGAAAATGATATTATGGTGTCGTGTATGAGAAAGCTAAAGCAAGACGCATACACCATTCTAATAATTCATTCATTCACATATGACCTTATTTGATGTATAATTTAACCACAACACCACCACCTTATCTCTTCCTTGGAGAAATGTGAGCCATCAATGGATTCTTCATCACCACCGTGAACTCTTGCTTCTCTTCCAAGCTGATCTCGTCTCCATCCCTAGCCTTCCATTCAAATTTCCAGACCAAATTCGCGACGAAATACTCGAGGTGGAGGAGTGCCAAATTAAGACCAGGACATATCCTTCTCCCCACACCAAATGGCATCATCCTCACCTCCCTGCTCCCTGTTATATCAAACACTTCGCTGTCGCAGGAATCACTTTTCATGAACCTTTCAGGCTTAAACGCCATGGGATCATCCCACACCTTTGGATCCCACCCCATATCTGCCACCATGAAGTTGATGGTTCCATTTTTAGGGACCAAATGTTTGCCAAGGATGGTGTCTTCTTTCACACGGTGAGGCAGCACAAAGTGCGCCGGTGGGTGCCTTCTTAGCCCTTCAAATATCATTGCTTTCAAATAAGGCATCTTCTGTAAATCATCTTCTTCGATTTCATCTTCGTCTCCGACAACCCCTTTAATTTCAATCAATAACCTGTCTTGAATTGAAGGGTATTTCACTAGATTCGCCATAATCCATTGCAAAGCGGTGGAGGTGGTATCAGTACCGGCGTTAAGAAATTCGGAGGCTAAACTAACCATTTCTCCTTCTTCAAGCTTCCTTTTCTCTTCTGGTAACTCCAAATCCAACAAAGTGTCAACATATGCTAAAACATAATCACCATCACTCTCCTTTTTCATCTCTCTAGCTTTCTTTCTTTCTCTAATCAGAGGAATCAGCACTGCTTCTTGATCTTTACGCTGCTGAAGAAACTCCTGCCATCGATGACGAAGCAAAACCTTGGTGACACTAGGCCAAAAGTTAAGTATATTGAATCTCCCAATACTCAGCAGCCCCCTTCGCAATACATCCTCAATCTCTTTTATCTGCTCCTGGTTCAGTTTGTCACCAAAGCACATTAAAACCAGCAAACAGAACATGGCATATTGAAAATGGGTCAAAACCTGAACTGGTTCCCCCGTTTTAGCCTTGGACTGTAACCCATCAAAAAGAATGTCCAAAACCCATTTCCGAGCATGAGAATACGACTTGATACGTGAAGGATGGAGAATTTCCGATGTCAGGTTCCGCCGTAGAACCCGCCAGTTCGGCCCGTATGATGCAGAGCTAATGTTGTGCTGGTTGCTAGTTACGATTTTGCTAGTAGGAAGAGCTTTGGGTCGGTCTGAAAATAGTGCACCGTTCTGGACCAGAGCCTGGTGAGCAAGGGAACGGTCGAAGACGAAGATGGAGGGACGGGAAACGATGTAGAGAGTGATCATGGAACCGTGCTTTTTCCGGAGGTTGCGGAGTATTGGCTCGATTTGGAAGAAGGATTTGGTGACCCATATGATGTTACCGATGACGGGGAAAGTGAAAGGGCCTGGTGGGAGAGTGTAGCTGAGCTTTTTGGGAGGGGAGAAGAGGTTTAAGATGGCTCTGAGAATGAGAGAAATGGAGATGGTGAGAAGAATGAAGAACCAAAGTTCCATTTCAGCTAAGCAGTCTGATAGAGGTGCCAAAAGAGAGACGGTGAAGTTGATCTTATAAGGAAATCTGATCTTCCATCTTGTTTATTTTGTGGTTAAGAATTGTCTGCGTATCAACAAATTAAAAAATGGAAAAATTGCATTTGATTTTAATACTAGAAAGATATTCTACTAAGAGATTAATATATATATATATATATATATATATATATATATATATATATATATATATATATATATTGTTTTTACCATGCCACACTTGAATTTGGTAGGTCAATCTCCATATATGAATTTTTTTTACATATATAAAAGTTCGAACTCAAATTATTATTTTTGTTTCATTTTAGATTTAAATTTTCATTTATTTCAAAATCATACTTAACATATACTTTGTGTTTCATTTTGATACTTTGTCATTAAAAACTTAACAAAATTATTACAACATGACATTTTTTATAGGTAAATTATATCATTTATCACTCCACTATCTTTTCACTCCTATTTTGGTCACTCCTAATCTAAACGTTAAGTATCATTTTTCTATATTAAATATAATTTTAATTTATATTAAAATTAAAATTATCAATATATAATATAAAAAATATTTAAATTACGTAGAAATTTAAAATTTTCAGAATGTGATCGTATCTCCAACATTTCCCTCTGTTCATCTCTAAGAAGTGCTATTGATCTTCTAAAATATTCAAGGATTAATCATATAATAAATGTAAATTATATATATCTTTTGTTTAATTATTTATTTTTTTCTCAATATATATATATATATAATATTTTATTTCAATTATTGTAAGGTCGAATATCTATGTTTATTTAAAAGAATATTTAATAAATGAATTATATGTTATATAACTTTTAATTAATTTTTATTTTATTTTTTCTTCTTATCCACTACGTTTTCAGCACTCGTATCTCATCCGTGGAAGTCTTCCTTGTTATAAACCGGTTTTCTAATTTTATTTTCTAGTTCTTTCTCTTCTTCGATCTTTTCGCTTCCCTTCTTTTTTTTTTCATATCCGATTTATAGTTTCTTTTCGATTGTCTATTAAGCTTTTTTGTTTCTATTCTTTCAAATTTCTGCAATTTTAATTGTAAAGATGTGTAAATTTAGAAGAAAGATAATTTTATAATTATTTATACCATAGAGAGATCTGTAAAATAGAGGTGGTGTAGATGTTATTAATTAGTAGTTTTATCATTGTCCAATTGTCCCTAACGTGACGATGAGCGCTGTAGGCATGGACGAAGTCATATAGTGGCTTAGTTCCTCTTAAATTTTTTAGTAGAATGGTATTTTAGGTTTTTTTTAATTTAAATATTAGTTAAATAAGATTTTTCTCTCTTTTAATTTTTAGATTTAAATATTTAATAATTTTTTCTTCTTTTGATATAAAATAAATGTAACTCCCTTAATATCTAATTTTAGCTCGTCGTTGGACGTAAGCAAGTAAAAGTTCCTCCCAAGTACCCATGTTTGCTTTTCTGGAAAGCTGAGGGGTTTACACATGTTTGTTTCTCGTGAAAGTGTGGGGTTTAACCATGAAACCAAAGAAGTACAAATGTAATTAAAAATATATTGAAAATATAAAGTAATTAAGAATCATACCACGTGTAGGTAACGACTTTTTAGTAGATTGTAACACCCATATTAAAATTTGGATGTAATACCTCAAATATTATGTCAATGATTTTATTGGAAAGATTTAAAATTTGAGGATTTATTTGAATAAATGATAAAATATAAGAAATGATTGAGAATAGTGTTTAAGATCCATTAGTAACAATTGATGAATAAAGATGACATTTTAGTCCTTCAAGGGGAATTGAATTTAAAATTCATTTATGCGACACCATTTTTCGCCCAGGCAGAGAAAAACTTAGTACAATTTGAGTTTTTCTTTGAGAAGGTTTTGAAGTGTGTAGGAGTCGCCATCGACCTTTCGGGTTAAGTATGTCAAATACCTAAAAAATTTCTTTTAAAAGAGTTATTAAGAAAACATCATTTTAAAAGATGTACCGATCTACATGTAACCAGAAATTCATTCTTTTTTATAATAAAAAAGGGGTTCGGGGATCGATTACGTGTAGGAAATTATAAACACCCCCACAACGCCCAAAATTGGTACCCAATAGATTATAAATTGTCTCTAATAGCGAAAATCTAAAAATTTGAATGCAAATTTAAGTTACGATCCCATTATTCCAAATTCAACCATGCAATTTTTACTGAACGAAAAATCCTAAGGAGATATAGAAAATATTTCAATATTTCCCATCGAAGAGAAAATAATCCCTAAAATATTTTAGGACGGAAATTTCTCTTTCCAATTGAAATAAAAGAAATATAATAATTTCTCCCAAAAATTCAAAATTAAACACTTTTATTTGACCAAAGAAAGAAATTAAACCAATTTATCAAAATTATATATGATTACAAAAGATAAGGGATGCTCACTTATTTAAAATATTGAGAACTAATCCCCAATAAAATTAGGCGAATTATCTCGATAAGTTTAAAAAAGTGAATATTTCCTTTTCCCTTCAAACTTGATTAATTTATTTTTTTGGATAAATTTAATTTTATTACCCAAGGTGTAGAATTCTGCTACATAAAATATCCTATCATTGGGATAATGAACAACATACTTACAACAAAATTTTAACGATCAACACCCCAAGTATTGAGACTATCTAATCTATTTATATTCTTTTCTCTTAATTGAATACATACAATCTCCTTAATTGAACTCAGAGTTTCGTTCTCACTTCTTGTGCTTCCTTAGTACAATATTTTATTTCATTCCTCCCATACGGAATAGACTAAAGCGCACCAAGCAAGTTTCAAGATAGTAACGAGGAGGGATTTACCTTTCCAAATACAACTAGCCCAGTTTATCATGCTCATCCAATGTAAAGTAGGGATGCTTAAGCCAGAGAGATTCAAGATAGTTTTCCATAAGGAAACTACCATAGAGCATTCACTAAATAGGTGGTCCCTAGTCTCTGTAGCTTCATTGCAGATTATGCAGGAATCATCGGTAACGATTCCATTCTTCGTAGCCTCTCCCTAGTTGGCAGTCTATCCAAGAGTGTCATCTATGTTATAATGATATGCTTGGGGGCGTGTAGAGAAAACCATATCAATTTGTGCCATGAGACTTTATCTCCTTTTACCCGTAGTTCTTTCCAGAAATCTTTCGTCGTCGTAGGGCCTGTAGATAAAACAGGGATTGCAGTTACCCTTAGTTTAAGTAAGCGCCTGATAGACCAGCTGGAATTTGCTATTTCATCTACTAACAGAAAGTCTGCACCTTTAATAACGTAGCTTTTGATCCAAGCTACCCACAATGATCCCTCTCCCTCAAGGATGTTCCTGATGAGTTGTATCATACATGCTTTGTACCATGTTTTAATATCTTTTAATCCGAGTCCTCATTCAGATTTCGCTAGGCAGATTTTCTGCCAACTGACTCTGGCTCCAATGGTTGCTTTATCTGTACCTTTCCAGAAAAATCTAGAGCAAAGTTTTTCAATCCTGTTAACAATAGCCTGAGGTAGAATTAACTGCATGCACCAGAAGTTAGCAATACTGAAGAGAACAACTCTGATAAGTTATAATCTGTCGGCGTAGCTCAAGTGCTTTCCCGACCAGTAATGTAACTTGGATTTGATATTTTCAATAAGAACCACACAGTCTTTTTCAGTGAGTTTCCTTGTGACTAAAGGAACCCCTAAGTATCTCACTGGAAAACTGCCATGTTTGAATCCTATGGATTGTAAAATATGCTCAAGATTTCTGAAAGTGATTCCAGCAGTATAAAGTTCACATTAGGCAACATTAAGTTTAAGACCAGACATTTCGTAGAATTGGTCAAGGACGCTGATGACTCTAAAAACTGATTCAATGTTTCCCTTACAGAAGATTAGTAAGTCATCTGCAAAAGAAAGGTGAGTGAGGCCAATCTTCTTACATTTCGGGTGGTATCCGAACAAGCCTTTGGTTGCAGCCATGTTTAGGAATATAGAGAACACATTCATTGCAATAACGAATAAGATAGGAGAAAGAGAGAAAGAGGGTCACCTTGTCTTATTCCCCTTGCACCCTTGAAAAAGCCAATCAAGCTTCTATTGAAAGAGATGGAGTATCTTACTTCTTTAAAGCAGGTTTCAATCCATCCAATGAAAGTATTAGGAAGCTGTAAAGCCTTAAGCATAGAAGAAATGAAACCCCACTGTAGAGTGTCAAAAGCCTTTTGTAAGTCAACTTTCAATGCACATCTAGGAGAGATAACTTTCTTTCCATAACCTCTCACGAGTTCTTGAGCAAGTAGAGTGTTGTCAACAATATTTCTTTCTTTTATAAAAGCCGATTGGTTGATAGATATTATCCCTGGAAGTAGTGTAGTCAACTTGTTGACTAAAATCTTTGTAATTGTCTTGCAAATAACAGAGCAACAGGAAATTGGCCGAAAGTCTCTAACCTTATTGGGGTTAGGAACTTTTGGAATCAAAGCAACGGTTGTAGCATTGAAAGCTGGAAGGATGAAAGTCTCTTGAAAGAAGTATTTAATAGCATTTACAACGTCTTTACCAACCACTGACCAAGATTTTTTGAAAAAATATGGTTTGAATCCATCAGGACCAGGTGCTTTGTCATTTCCTTGGTTGAAATTTTATTTTTGGATCTCTTAATCGGTGGCTTCCTTTACAAGGTTAGAAGAAACATCATATGGCAAATTAAACTGCATCAAATCCTTCAAAAGATTAGGCGTGCAATTTTTAACCCCAGAGTCCTCTGTACCTAAAAGGCTTGAGTAATATTCAATCACTTCGGAAGCCATTTAATCAAAAAATTCAAGCCTTTTACCTTGGTCATTAACAAGAACTCAGATGGTGCCTTTTTTTTCCTAAGATAATAAAATAGAAGGATTTTGTGTATTTGTCTCATTCTTTTAACCATTTCACCTTGGCCTTTTGTTTCAAGTACATGCGCTCTACTTCTTCAAGAGATAAAAGG